ATAGATATATATATAGATAGATAGATATATAGATATATATAGATATCTCGTAATTGTACTGTCAGCTGTAAATTACTTCAAATTAGCTAAACCTGCTTCATCAGGTCTCCATTTAATGTGAAGTTGTCAGTGAAATATATATTTAATTTTTTAAATCCTAAGTAGTTATTATACGTGTTGTAAACGCTATCAGAAATGATTGGTGTAATGTTAAACAATCAAAGATGAGAAATGCCACTTCGATGGCAAATTTATGGTATGTTCAGTTAAAATAATTCATAGTATTACCCCGAAAGTCCAACTGATGTTTATTCTAAAAAAGGTTTCTGAAGCCTTGTATGAGCAGTGTTTAACGGCTCTCTGCTTATTGTTAAAACATGACTATATACACAGTAAATCAGTCTGTTAAAACTTGTGCTGGTCACAACAAACAATGTTGACAGTTGACATAATGTTTGCTACTTCAGAGTATATTGGATCATGTCAGGTGAGGTAAGCTTATGTATATATTTTTTCTTCTTGTTGCAGAAAAAGTGGACTGGAGCATATTCAGGCTATTTGCCCATCCTGCCTTTGCCAAGTGTGGGGTGATCGGTGCCAATTGTAGGCTGTGCATGTTTGTTCTCCACCAGTGATTCCTTATGCTTGAAAGAAGCTGCAACCTGTGTCTTACAGGATGGATGGTGTGAATTTAAAGATACTTCTGTATCGACATCAGTGCTCTGGGCTTTGTTGCGGCGTTCAGTTTTTTTCCATTTACAAGAGAACACCTCCCATCATACATCCCCAGTTGCTGCGCCTCGTATATAAAGACAGTTTTTGAACAATAGAGGACGAGGACAACACCAAATAGAAATTTTGAGACTTTATTTACTTTTTTTTTTCTTCAAAGCACAGATTGATACCACTTAAACAAGCTTATGTGACAGACATGGAAAAAATATTATTTTAGAATTTTTTTGTTACTGTACCCTTTTTTAGTTCAGGTTTTGGGATGTCAGAAAAGCCAGACGACAAAATGGTGAAGTTCCTAGCTCCCCCTCCAAAAAGTGGAAATGGCCCCAGTACTGGTTCAGATTCGCTGGTGAGTGAGAGTCGATCAGTAGAGGTGAGACGCCGGCATCACACTATGGAGCGTGACAGGTGTAACCCCGAACACCGGTTCTTGCGTCGAAGTGTCATCAGCGATTCCAACGCTACAGCGTTAGCCCTTCCTTTACCCAGCAAAATCCCCATCTTGGCTCCTCAGCGATGTGAGCTACAGGAACCAGTCCTGCAGCTTGAAAAGGCTTGTGCTACTCACTCAACAAAGACTGAACCAAGAAAAGATCATCATGAAAAGTGCACTGAAAATGGAAGAGAAAGGCATGAAAAAGATCAAGGTATAGCTAAGGAAGACATCCCTTCAGCACAAAAGTCTGCCACTGTGCAAGAAATCTGTGATAGAGATACGCTGGTAGCAGCTCACGCTACACCATGTCTAGGATCAGAATTGCCAATTCACCCAGAACCTGTAAGCACCACTGAGGTGAAGGTACCTCCTGATGATGAGGGGGAGGATTCTGCCAAGGCTCGAGCAGAGGCAGAGCAAAGAGAGGCTGAGAAAAGAGTACAGGACGACATAGAGGAGGCAGAGACCAAAGCAGTTGGGACATCACCTGATGGACGATTCCTGAAGTTTGACATAGAAATTGGACGTGGCTCATTCAAGACTGTCTACAAGGGCTTGGACACCGAGACCACAGTGGAGGTGGCGTGGTGCGAGCTGCAGGTATGAAGTTTTCAATCCACTAATTACTATGAATTGGATAAATGTGTTCACACATTTATTTTTGTTGTAGCATTAGCATAATCAACACATACTTTCGCTAAACTAGGCTTTTTTAATTTTTTTTAAATTTTAGGCTGTATTTCAGACCTAAAGTTTTATTAAGTGAGACTTACACTCTTAGACTCATGAGACAGTACACTTAATCCTGCAGGCTCTGTAGGCCACAGCTTTGATAACTGTGGGTTTCTGATGTAATTAAGCTTACTTATTGTTTCTGGATCAAACGGTAGAAGTCAGCTCATAGTGGTTGTGCCTATTTTATAGATCCATCCTGTTTCTCTTCTTTTCCTTTTGCTCAGTTTCCAAACCTTTGTATGAGACAGTTGGTTGCCCAGAACACATTTATTGAATTGATAATTAGCATTAACTTTTTTTTTTTAAATTTGCGTAAAAAGGGGTTAAGTGTTGCATTCTCTTGCATTTGTGTTGTATCCTTTGGGTGGATTAGAACCAAATTAATTTCCTTCCCTACTGTTGCCTGAGTTTTTCCTTTTTTTCTCTCTTTGATAAATATATAAATAATTTCGCTTTTGATCCACCAAGAAAGCATTGTTAAAAAATTAAAAAAGATTCATCTTTTTAATGTACAATTCTAGTTTCATAACTACATATAAAAATACCCCTGGCAAGACAATTAAAATGTAAAAAAAAAAAAGTTCCCAAGTCCCGACTGATAAATTAAGCTAACAAGCTGAAACTTGGCAAATTCTTGTCATTAAAATCAGGTCCTTTTATTATTATTTTTTTAATTGTTTTCATGTTTATTTTTTAACTGTTGCCCCATTTTTTTTTAAGTATGAATATCTAAAATGCTCTAAAACACACAGATAAACTAAAAGGTTACTCTTTCCTTTTTTTTAAGTGTAGCAAGAATTGAGATATTGTAAATAAACAAATAATTACAGTAACATTTTAACAATCTTTTTTTGTTGTTGCATTTGTGACCTTTGACCTACTTTTGATTTTTCTTCTCACTGTATCAAATCAAAAAAAAAAAAAATTCAAGACGACAACAAATGGACTTTATTTTGTAATGAAGCCATTTTGCTTCTCATCTGACGAGCTTTCTCAATTCAAAGAAAGAAGGTGTGGAGTTTTGAGTTATGAAGCGGAGATGTTTTATATGCAAATTACACTGACACCCCCTCACAATAGGGATTTATTAATCATTAGGGTGATTATTAGTCTGAATAATAATAATTTCATGTGTTTACATGAATGAAAATCCTGATAAGAGTGGAAATGACTGGGTATCAGGCCTAATGTGCCATTAGATTTTTGAAAGTTGAAATTTGAGACCTCCTCTGATAGATTTATTTTAGATTCAATTTTTTTTTTAAGTCCTCATTTAAAACTAGCTCTGCAGCCTGTTCAGTTTCAATAACTATAGCGCTCGAAGCTTCACACACCACATGAACGTTTTCTTTACCCTGTCACAAGAGCAAACTGCTTCACACAGCAGCAACAGAACACATGCAGCTGGTTTCAGAACAATGTGAAGATTACAGACATGCGCCCCTCCCCCCTCGCAGACCAAACCACACGCATGCTCACTGTTCCTGCTGCTGAAGCTTGTGTGAATGTAAAACGGGTCACATTCCTCACAGAGGAATCTCCTGTGTGAAGCACAGCAGGCTGACCTGCCAAGTCCTGCTTCAAAACCATCAGTCCACCTTCCCTTCTCGTTTCTACCATTTGTTTAGTTTATAACCACTTTATATGCAGAGAAATGTAACAAACGACTATCTACAACTTTATTTGTTTGAATTTAACCACTTTTGTTGCTCATGGTCTTTTTTTTTTTTTTTTTAACTAAATGTTGCTGTTTTGGCTAGATGAATTATTACGATATGTAGGAATCGCGTAAGGAAAATGTTTTTTATATTTATTTGGTATTGGGGTTGCATTTATGAACCATATTTTTTTTTAAGTACAATACCTGTTATTTATTTCTAATTCAAGTCACACAGTGAAAGATTACTGTAAATTTGGGATTTCTAGAGTGATTTAAAAAAAAAAAAATATATATATATATATATCTGCCAATATATATATATATTTTTTTAAGAAACTTCAGCATTGACACAGATGTGTCTTGTGTGTCAACAGTGTTTCCCCTACCATTTTTACAAGCGGGGCGCCCCACCCCGCCAACAGAACCGAGCGCCCTGTCTACCGAACCGCACGCACCCCACCCACTTGTAAGCACTGACATAACACTAAGCTAGTGGCTCGCAATACAGGTGCGCTAGCTAAAAAGCTAAAGGCAGCCTCTTCTCTCATGCTAACCCCCCTCCCCCCACTTGAACAACGCTGTCCGTACAAACAGCGGTGCAGCTAAGATGTGTCTCTGTCTAAGCACACACACACACATCCCGGTCGACAAAACACTGAGATGAGCACCCCACCATGGCAGGTTTTCTAGAGGAAACACTGGTCAGTATCCAGAGAGAATGGGGAATTGGAAGATAAATTGCCACTTTGATTTGGTTTTGTATATTATAAGAGTCAGAGTCAGAGTCAGAGTTTCTTTATTGTCATTCGCACCTCATGTGGTACATGTGGTGGAGCGAAATTATGTACACAGGGTCCCAGTTACATCCAACAACAAAATGCACAAGAAAAACAGCAATGACATCCAAGATATGAACCAAGAAAAACATCAACTAAATATACACTAAGCACTCATAACATAAAACATTGAACATCAGCACAAACATGAACATGAGTCTGTGAGCAGATGTGCACGCATGAACACATCAACATTGAAACAGACCAGCAGACCACTAGAAGCAAAATAATAATACTGTCTGACAGGGTAGCCTTTCACTGTTGTTTCCATAAGCAATTCAGTTGCTTTTACAACGTATACTTTTTATTTTATTTTTTTTACCAAAATACTTATTGTGTTACGATATGGTGCAAAAATTCAAAGGCATCATTTAAAACTTTTTGTACAGTCAGCAGAAAATGAGTACATTTTCATTTAGACTATTAGGGAAAGTAAATTGAGGGATTATTTTCTTACTATCAAAACTGTTAAGTTCCAGGATAAAAGTAGAGTGTTCAATGTAGGTAGGTTTGCCACTAATTTGTCTTTTGAGAATTTGGTGTCTGCTTGAGGCAACAACAGTTCCCATTCATAAACTGGTCTGACGGGTTTCCTTTAAGATCTTTTAACTTAAACCTGACTACTGACGCAGTAACAAACCAGCACTTCTGTGCAACCAAAAAGCCTTACTTCAGCCAATCTAATGTTCATTCACACATATTTTATCCTCTTTAATATTTTTGAACACATCAGCTATGTCTTTGATGGACTTAAGTTTTCTTATAATAAAAACGTGTTACGGTAATTACTCAAATGTATTTCACTTTCCTTCATTCTGAGCAAAATGTTTGCCTGAAATCATTGACGTTACAGCTGCATGGCTCAAGTATGAAAGGCCATTTGTTCCAAATCTCCAAAGAATTTCTAGGCGGATGCTGTTTTTTCTTTTACTCGTGACCTCACTCATTTGTCTCACATTGCAGCCTGGTCTGAATAATAAGTAGGTTAGCACTGAGAGGAAGTTAAGAAAAGAAGGAGTAAATATAGGAACTTCTTTTTTTTTTTTTTTCACATTTTTATCTACCAGTACTTAATCAACTCTGCTTCTTCTCCTGTACTGGCTGAAGCTGTAAATGAGATGAGATGCATCCCAGACGTCCCTCTGAATAAAACTATAAAAGCTGTGTCCACCTGGCCAAAGGTGTCCCACAGAATGACATGCTTTACCCAAATACTCCAAAACAAGTGACTCTGTCTAAATCTTCACAATTTGTTGTTTTTAGGGTTCACTATAAGAGCGTCAATATTGTCTGTTTGTTTATAGTTTGATAAATTTCACAATTCTGGAAATGTAACATTTATAATTCCATTATCCATATTGCTCAAATTATGAAACCTAAAAACTTTCTTGATTTCAACAGTTAACCGGATTTCACTGGCGACCATACAGAAAATTGAAAAACTATCGGCTGTTCAATGTTCACCATTAAGACCAAATTAGGGTCTGGAGTTATGCTCTGCCAGAAATGATTTTTTTATTCTTGCGCTTAACGATTTACATTTGGGGTAAGTTTGGGGGATTTGGGTGTAATAATAACCAGTCCTTCAGTAACTACCTGCTTGGAGACAACAATTTTATTTTATTTTTAAAAACATGTAATGCAACTTTGAACATTAGTACGGTTGACTTCGGAGTAGGCCACTCGGTTTATATAATTGTTTTTAGCTATCAATATCATATGAAAAATTTTTTTTTTCTAAAATTATATGATCAAAATGTGTACAGTGGGGTTGGGGTTTGGCTGCTCTCTTCAAGGGTTTCCACAGCAATCGTTTTACGTCTGATTCCTTCCTAAAACAAAACAACCTGGGTTCGAACCTGCAGCCTCATGATTACAAGATTATTTCAAATCAGCCACCATCAGTCAACAATGAATGCTTGCCAATCTTCATTTTTATTTATGCGATTAAGTTTAAAATATATTGCTTTTATTATCACAGCACACAATATTTTTGAAAGTTGAAACGTGTAGGATTAATGTCTTGAAGCAGTTATTTATTTATTTTCATAATGGTCACAGCCCCGGAGCATTGTGGAGCTCTGAGTGCACCGAGGAAAGGAGGTGGAGAAGAATTAAAAAAAGTTCAATACAAAAAGTGGAGGTGGAGAAGATATTTGTCACCACATATAATTATTGTCAGTTTAGTTAGTGAAGCCGTTCCCATTTAGGATTTCTGTGAAGAGGAAATAAAAACACCAGTCAAGCATTGGATGTACCAGTGCTGCTTGTCAGTACATCAAATGCCCAATGTGTACGTACAATTTTGATTTGAATTGCACATCTATTTTATTTTTTTACAGGTCAGAACAGTTAAAAATAAAATTTTA